TTACACGAATTCAGATATGGAGCTTTAATACTTACACACAATCTACTTGTATTTTGAGTTTTAAGTAATATGCATTAATAAACAGTACTTTACGCATAAAAAATAGTTTTTAAGAATTTTTGTCAAATGCTTTATAATATAGTATAGATTTTTTTTATAATTTAATTTAAGTTTAATAATGAAATAATTTATTTTTGGTTTAATAACATAACATTCTATAAAGATAACGTATTATGTTAGAACTCAATGATTATCCTAATTATATTTTAGATTTTTTATATTTAAAATTAAATGTTTATCATGTATTTGATTGTATTTATCTGCAGTTAGTTACACGAATTCAGATATGGGATGAAATCGGATAGAGATGAAATCTGGTTTAAGAGTTTTAAGAGTTTTTAAAAGTTTTAGCCAAATGCTTTATAATATAGTATAGATATAGATAATAAATATTATCCGTTTTAAGATAAATGTAAAAATTTTCTTTATGATAAATTAATTCAAGTTAGATATTTTTTTTTTTATGAAATGGAAGTAAAAACAAGTTAATAGCGATATTTCTAAGTAGTACATACATATATAGGCCAACAAAAATAAAATATGTAGGATGAAAATGTAATAGAATTGTTCATTTTGGATCCTTTTTTACTAAAACTATAATTGAAGGACTAAAAATGAAAAATGGGATGATAGAACAATGTACGTTAATCACACTTTAATCTTAGTCGGTGAGTAAATGCAGAGTTGACAATTGCTTGGTTCAAGGGGATTTGGATCTTGTGTTCTTCCTTTTTCGATCCACACGGCTCAGCCATGCCTACGATTGTCTAAGATTTGCACAATTTGCAATCACCCTCAAAATCTCCCATTCATCTGTCCTTATTTCTAGAGGGAAAACAATCGACCCGTTAATTTCAGAGAGAGAAAGATCGATCGTGGCAGATCTGTTTCCGTTTCGCCAAATTTTCATTCATTGGAAGGGAAACAAACAATCAAGAAAGACAAGTGTGTGGGATAGAGAAGGTGATTCGCATTACAGGGAGCATTGCCATTGACAAGGGTAGAAAATGGGGTGCTCTTTTTCGGGACTCAACGCCCTATACGATTCTGCCGCCGGTGATGTTTGGATCAACGAACACCGCTTCAAGATTATCCGGAAGCTCGGTGAAGGTGGTTTTGCCTATGTGTTTCTAGTTAAGGAGGTTATCAATGAGTCTTCCGATGGTGGCGTCTCTAAGAAATTCAAAGACCCCTCTCACATATCTGGTATGAACGAAAATCGCCAGTTTGCATTCCTATTTAGGTTTTCAAAATCTGCACATTGTGATCTCTGGTTTCGTCTTTATAGATTCATATAATTGTGTGACATGTGGTGATTTAATGAGATTTAATTGTGAGGTTTTGAAGGAATGATTTTGTCTGCAGATGATGGAACTTATGCTATGAAGAAAGTTTTAATTCAGAATAATGAACAGTTGCAGTTCGTGAAGGAGGAGATCCGTATCTCGTCCTTGTTTAACCACCCAAATCTGCTTCCTTTACTTGATCATGCCATTATTTCAGTAAAGGTGAGAGCTGTTCACATCCCAGATCTTGGATTATATGAAGTTGTTATCTTTGTACAAGATCATAAGGGTGTTTATCATTTGATGATAGATCTCGTAGTTGGCTAACTTGTGCTTAAAAGATTCAAATAAAGTTCATTCAGATTAGAGTAGATTTCAGATTGACAACCATTTTGCTAAAAAACTGTATCTATCCCATGATATATAACATACCTGGTACTCAATTTCACCTAGGATCATCTATGTTTTTTTTGGTAACCGTGGGTGTCTGGGCCAGCTTGCGCACAGCCCGACTAATCCCATGAAGCATTGAAGATAATAGTCTGGAAAATACCTAGAGGCCCTGAATAGACTCTAATTGGTGATCTGTGGGAGGACCCAAAGGCCTATGTTTATTTGCCGGTTGAGCTGGCCCTCAAGGTTTAAGATCATCTATATATGTTGCCTAGCTCAAATTTAGCATTTGTATCAGAAATTCATCACTGCTCCTTATAAGTAAGTCGTATCACGGTACGAAAAGGGTTGCTCAAGAAATGCTTTTTATTAATTTTTAGGTTATCTAGATGTTCTGGATGATGTAAGAATTTCAACATCCAATTCCTGGATGATATATCCACTGAAATAGAATATGATTGTGTTCCGAATTCCTGGATGATGTAAGAATTTAGTATATTCAATTCGATCCAAAACTTCCCAAGATTCATAGCATCATTTGAACATGGCATAAAGCTAAATCAACGTCCATTTGAACAAAATGTACACTCAAAGCTCTCTTTACTTTTATATCTCACAGTTCATGTAGTGAGCTGGTCTTAGAGTTGGATGCCAGTATATTCCTGTGAAACTTAATGAGAAGAAAATTGGTCTGCTAAAGAAAAACTAAAAAATTTACCCACTTTTAAAAACACTTTACAAAAAATAAATTGAATTCCGTTAACATGTCTAAAGAAAAGAATCACAGGGAAATGTAGGATAAAATGAAGGTGCTTCATTTGAAAGCTGGAAAGAGATATCAACATATGTCCTTTGACAGTGACTATTTCATACACAGAAAAAGATGAAGTAAGATTGCTGGAACAACTAACATAAATCGAGTTATACCCTTGAATGTTGTGTTTACTCTGTGGGTTGAGAAGTTTAGCTTAAATGGTCGTATTCATAAGAAAGTTATATTCTCTTTGCTAGGGCACACCAGAACAAACTTGGACGCACGAAGCATATCTATTATTTCCTGTCCATTTGGATGGGACATTGCTGGACCATGCAAAAGCTATGCAAGCTAAGAAGGAGTCCTTTTCTACCTCTGATGTTCTCGAAATTTTCCGTCAGGTAACTAAATTTTTTTATACAACTTCATACTTTCTATTCTTGTATGCAAGTCAAGAGATCTGTTTCAATTTGGTTTCCATGCGTGTGTTATATATGTCTGTGAACACTTCTAACAATCATCAAACATATAATTGCCAATATTTGAAAGACATGATTTTGTGATCTGAATCGAAGATGTTTTTGTTATGTACTGAAAAAAAGGCTTGCAGCTTTGTGCAGGACTTAAGCATATGCATAATCTTGAAACTCCATATGCGCATAACGATGTCAAACCTGGAAATGTCCTTCTCACACATCGTAAAGGGCAGCCACCATTGGCTGTCTTGATGGATTTTGGAAGTGCTCGTCCTGCTAGAAGGCAGATCCGCTCTCGATCAGAGGCGCTCCAGCTGCAGGTTCTATCCCCTGCACTTCCTTACATTTTTCAAATAATTTCCCAATTCTTACCCCTGAGAACTGAGTCTTGGCCTCTTAGTCGCATATCTGCCATATTCCCTCTTTTAAAATGGCATGCAGATTTATAAAATTTGTTTTCCTGATAGAAGCTGCGTATTACACCTCTGCACCTATTTTCTTTAATACCAAAAGGGTATACTATACTGGTTGACTCATGATTGAGGTTGGTTTAGGGGCCGTTTATCAAACGCTTACCGGGTAAGCGTTTAACGACAAGAGTTATCACTCTTGTTTACTTATGGATAAAGTTCCAAGCCATCAAAATGGATTGATGGTAAGCGTTTATAACCCGGTAAGCGCTCACCGGGTAAGAGTCATCACCCTCACTTACCGGTTAAGACTCTCGATCCTTGCCTTCCCTCTTACCGGGTAAGATTCCCGGTCATTGTTATGTTCACCCAGGACGGTAATTGAACTGGTAAGCGCTTACCAAAGTGTTTAGTAATCGGCCCCTTGGTGTTTTGCTTTCAAATATGTTGAAAATTAGAAATTTATTTCTAATCTGAGGTGCTGTCTACATCTTTCAAAAAACATTTCCCAGCCAATATTTCTTAAGTGTGTAGGTTACTTTGAACTATTTGAGTAACGTTTTGTTTAATATGTTGGTTAGGAATGGGCAGCTGAGCATGTTTCAGCACCTTTCCGATCTCCTGAATTGTGGGATTGCCCGAGCCATGCAGACATTGATGAAAGGACTGACGTATGGTCTTTAGGTTGCACTTTGTATGCTATAATGTAAGTCTCACTTCTCTTTGCAACGAGTTAGTTTTTTATGCATGAACTTGGTTGTACTCTTCATTTCTATGTGATGTTGATTTATTAGTTTTGTTCATAACTTAAACCAAATCAAGCAAAACGAACCCAGTATATCCCTTATACAGGTAGGATAATATTGTTCATAACTTGAGAATGCAAATTGAATCTTAGGAACATACGCCTGAAGTAGGCAACTGCATAATGACAGTATTTTAATCTAGAAATACATTAGTATTTTGTAACTACTAATGGCAAAAGTCTGATTTTGGATCGGTAGTCGAAACTTTTGCAAAAGTGAAATATTCCATTCATTTGGGTACCCTGAAATGAATTAGGCACTATTTGGTTAAAAGGACTCTTTTTCCTCCAAGTTTCCACATTGTATTTCCTCTTGATTAGGGGATGGCAAAAATAACCCATATCTGAATGGACCTGATACCCGAACCCGGTTTGACCGGAGAATCCCCAAGTTGACCGGGGATGGGTTCATGGATGAGGAATCCCCGAATTTATAATCTAGGGAAGGGGATACCCCTCGTCCCCGACCCCGAATACTAATAATAATTTTTTGTGTATATATTTGATAAATATGATAATAAAATGACAAACCTAAGGAGTATATAAATATATTATATAATAAGTATAATCAATCATTACGAATGGAATAACAATGTGGATGTATATTGTATAAGATTTCAGTCATTAAGTATTGTAATTGATATATTTGTGTTTGAACTATGTTTATTTACTCTTTTACAAATTGAACAAAAAATTTGTTTGATTAAAGGTTTAGCATGCTATGTCGTTAAAACGTGAAATTGACATTTATGTATATGCATATATAAAAAGATATTTTGTAAAAAAATAAATTGTATCCATGGGGTAAAATCCTCGATTCCCTGGTGGGGATGGGGATCGAGGCCCCCGATAACCCCTACCCTATTGTCATCCCTACTCTTGATGGAATATAGTTGGTGGGTTGGGTTCAGGGTAAGAAGGGACCTCCACCATTGGATCAATCCTAATTGAAGATCAACACGAATGAGATGTACCGAATCAGTTCCAGTGAGAAGCGCAATTCATGGGTGGGGGTGAGATTAAAAGTGATCAAGGGTCCAAATCCCTTCTTATGCTTCTCACCTTTACTCTTTTTCTCACAAGATCCTTCATCATATAGTCGTATCCAATTACTACAAGAACAAATATGTAAACAAGGCGGGTGCTAGGTGACGAGCCCGTTTTAACCTCATTCTTTTACATGATTATTTAGTAACCAGCATGCTTTTCTTTCTTTTTTTCTATGCTTTACATTCCTTCCTCTTCTTTTAAATTGATAAGCACTTTGTCGATTAGTCAACATTCGACATTCTAAAGATCGAATTCTCTCTATCGCCTTTAACTTAATACAGCTGAGTAGATATATATTACTCTTGAGTAGGACTAGAAAGTGAGAATCTAATAGATATCAATCTATTCTATGCCATATTTAACAGGTATGGTGTTTCTCCATTTGAGTATGCACTAGGGGAGTCAGGAGGAAGCTTGCAGCTGGCTATCATAAATGCACAGATAAAATGGCCAACGACCCCTAAACCATCATATCCAGAAGCCCTTCATCAGTTCGTTTCATGGATGATCCAGCCTCAAGCGACAGTTCGGCCTCGCATAGACGACATCCTCATCCACGTTGACAAATTGATCACAAAATTCTCCCAGTAAACTCAACTTCACTCAATGTATCCTCTCATTAGTGGTTACCATCCACTTCATAGATATCATCAATCTTATATTTCAAGTAAAAATGTGAACAACAAGAAGAGTTGCTAGTTTATTGTCATTAGATATGTTTTTGATGTATCATTTTGATTAGAAATATTGGAACTTGCAGTTTTTGTAATATTTATGGGAGCACTGTTTAAAATAATACATTCTCAGTGGTTGGTTTGTATAACATATTCAGGAACTGGTGTCTTTCTGAACTCACTGGCTGTCTTCAATCTCCACTGCAGCAATAAAAGGTATAAACCAGTTCTTATTCTTGCATAAAAGCTGCATTTTCTGAACCTATTAAGGTCTACTTTTTGCTTCAAGGTGGATGGAGAAGTAACTTTGATCCTATTATTCTCATTTTCTGTTTCTGGTGGTCATCATGTGTTTGATTCATAATTCTTGACATCTATAGTGAGACTTAGTCAACGGATTTGTTTACGAGTCTCTCCTTGTTGCTGCACGGAAATTGACACGTTTGTTAGCCGCTTTTCCCAAGCCGAGGGTCTTTCCAGGGACAACTACTCTACTCATTGGGGGTAGACGTTAGGTCTGTAAGGATTACTACCCTATGCTGTTACAACGGTCAAAATTCAAAACAACGGCCATAATCGTGATTCGATATAGTGGTTGTCATTGTGATACAACGGTCTATTAGAACTATACATATACACAGACATAAACACAACAAAAGTATACATTTTAAACGTAAAGAAGCCAAGTTTCACACAAAGGAAATAGCAAAAGAGGTCGTATAATTCATGAACTTGTCGACTGTTAAACAAAAGTCCGGGTTAAACACTAAGAGTAGGACTGCTACCACAACTATTACACCCAAGACCGTGAACCACTATTGCACCGTTAGAGCACACGATGCTGATTGCTATTTTATCACCGTTGTAAAATATAAAAATACCGTAACAAGAGTATTTTGATCATTTTATTATTTTTATAACAATTTTGAAGTTAACGTTGATTCACATATGAATTTTTATAACAATTTATCGTTGGAAAAATCCATTTGAAGATGCATATGAATACTTTGTAACGTTGATTCCCATGTATACATCTTCAATTAGATTTTTTCGAATTGTTTAATGGGTTAACATATGAATTTTCACTTCTTACATTCTCACGATATTTAATCTTTATTTGAACCGACTCCTAATCGTCCACACGATAATGGCAGTATCTTGTACCTGGACCGGTGAATAGGGTGTAAACAATCCGAGCTTTTAACGTTCAACTCAAGCTCGAGCTTAATAATTCTCGAACTCGAGTCGATCTTGAATGTAAAATAGAACTCCTTTAACTCAACGAGCCGAGCTTTATAACATTAATGTTCAACTCAGCTTGTTTAAAAACTCGATTCAATTTTTTGAATCGAGTTAAGCCGAAACGAGCCATTTGAAATTTTTTCGAGCCAAACATGCTCATATATTTATTAATCATACAATAAAAATATAAAAATTATCAAGCTCAAGCCGATAAACGAATTAATCAATCGCGAGTTCGAACCCATAAATGAGCATCGAGCTCGATAACTCAAAAAATATTCAAGCTCGAGCTCAAGCCCTACATTGAAAAAGTTAATCGATCTCATCGAGCTCGAACCTAGCATTAATTCTTTGAACTTGACTCAGTTAACCTACTACTTGACTCGACTCGTTTACACCCCTGCCCAAGAAATTTGTTTTTATATAACTGGCTGCTCCCACCATCGTTACCCTCTACTTCCATGGCAAAGTAGCTTCGATAATCCACTTCCTTCCATCAATTCAAACGTTTCTGAAGGTGCCACAGAGGCTCTATTATATTTATATATACGTCAACGTCCAAAGTATGAACCAGGCAATATGTGGTAGTATTAATGTTCAGAGGGCACCACACTCAAACGGCCGTTTACTAAACACTTACCGGGTAAGATAAACCAATATCACTTACCTTACCGATTGAGCATGGTAAGAACCGAGAATTTACACAGAACGAGGCATAGCAAGGATTGAGAATCTTATCTGGTAAGTGAGTAGAAAATACTTTTACCGGGTTTAAGATGCTTACCAACAATCCATTTGGTAAATGGCTACTTAATCAATTATCATTTGAACAATGAGATGAAAGATAAAGCTGAAAGCTGAAGATAAACATGGGCATCACGAATCAAACATTTAGAACGAAATCGCCAAGGATAGCGACATACTCTACTCTATTTAGAACAAAATCGCCAAAAATTTGCCTAAAAAAAACTCTATGCCAAAAGATCAAACAACCCATGAAACAAGTCCAAATGACCAATTTGTTCACTGCAATTGAGGCTCATAAATCTCCCATCATTTTGATCAAAGAAACCCATAGAGGTTGCCTATCAATCATATAATTCACACAAAAACACATTATAAATCTAGCTGTTCTATGTAAAACCATCTACAATTCACAGCCTAATATATATATATATATAACTTCAAAACCATATCTCACCTTTTCAAACCTTAACGATCACGGGCACCTCTTTCTGCCCTCCGGCGTTCATAATCAAGATCATCCGTCGGCAACTCATGGCGGCAAACAGGACAAGTATTCCGAATACTTAACCATGGAACAATGCAATCCCCATGGTATCGATGACCACAAGGAAGCTGCTTTCCCATTAACCCAACTCCGATTTCATCCTTACAAACAGCACAAAGTGCATCGTTCTTTTCAAGATCCAATTCGGTCATCACCACGGATAAAAGATTCTCCACCACTGTTCTGGCGGCCGGTGGTCGCCCCAAAGAAGATACATCGGCGTCTGCAAATTGCTCAAATAACATATCATATTCTGCATAATTGTATTCATCATAGTGACCACCTGCTAAATCTTGGGTTCCTTCAAGATTGTGGACATTCAACAAGACTTCCCACTCCAAAGAAGATGTATCTGGCTGTTGTTCTTCCAATTCGTGGGTAGCGATAGGGATATCTGGTAGAACAGAAAGATCATCATCGGCTTCTGATTCGAAAATCATATTTAGTATTTCTCTGTCGTCTATCCGATCATCGACTTCTTCCCATTCGAAATCTTGATTGCCTCTATCGTTATCATCTTCTAGCTGAAAAGCATCCCAAGAAAGACGAAGGTTTGATTCTACGTCACGACCAGCATCCGTCGCGAAATCAATATCGTTTTCTCCGGCGACATCAGTATCCGACCCCAAATCTGGCACCCGGAAACCCTCCATGATGTATTCCGGCCCAACTGATCTGTTAGACGGATTTTCTGATTCCGATCGAGCATTGAGAGTTCTCCTGGATACGAAGAAATCATCCCCACAATCAGCAAGCATAAACCCTGAATTATCATCACCATTATTACGCTCATTATTAACTTCGACAGGGAACCCTAACCCTAACCCCAAATCATTCGCATCCGGTCCCTCATTCCCTCCGATCGGCCCAAGGCTCCGATCAAGGTTACCCGAATCGCTATCTATAATCACAGGTGATGCAGAATGCGATTGCGATTGCGATTGCGATTGTTCAACGCGCTGGTGAAACATATCGATTACGAAATTCATCTGGTTCTCTCGGTCGAAAAGGACGGAATCATCCTCGTTGGGGGAAATTCGAGTGGGGTTTCGATCGGTGTGGCAAAGAAAACCATCGAAGGAAAGGCAATCAAGATCCGAAGGGTAAAGATCGAAGCCATCAAGATCGCAAGAACAGTTGTTATCGGGATGGAAGGATACCACAACCTCGTCCCTATCATCGTATTCTTCATCATCATCATCGTCATCCTCGTCATCATCATTTCCATGGGGTTGAAGGTAGGATACCTCCGCCATAGGTGATGGTGGATGATAGATCGAAGACGGGTGTCTGGTTCGTGACTGAAATTAATAAGAAAACGCGTGCAAATAGGATTTTTGGTGGTTGCTGTCGAGAGGTGAAAGTTGCTGGTCACCAGAGTTTTTGACTTCTAGATACTCACCGTATCGTATCTCACTTTCTTTTTCATTTTCTTTTTGCAAAACTTTTAATTAGAGTAAACTACACTTTTGGTCCCTATACTTAGACCAAAGTTTGAAACCCGTCTCCGTCTTTCAGTGAATCTAAAATCCGTCCCTATTTTATTTTGTACATACGGCTTTGAAACGGGCCATTTTCCCTATCTCCATTGACGCATACATCGTTAATTGAGGGGAAATTCAATCATTTTGCATCTTTTAATCAATAAAATTAAGTGTATAACATTTACAAGTGTTTGATATTATATATATATATATATATATATTTGTACATACTATATTATAAAACCATGTTATAATATCAACAGAGACAAAAAAATAAAACGAAACGTTAAAATCAAGATGTATCGCACTGCATTGTGAGAGTACTCTTCTATATATATATATATATATATATATATACACACACACACACATATATATATATATATATATATATTGTACAAACCTCATTCAACAAATCATAATTTTTTATTTTGTTTATTCTTTTTGCAATTATAAGAGGTTGATTAATTATTTATATTATGTAGGGTGTTAATCATAGATATCATCATCTTAATTATTTTAATTTTAGAGAAATACATGAAACAATTTCATCAAAATTTCATTAAGTATCATATGAAATAATTTTATAACCATATATAAAACAACTTCATAAAAAAAAGTATTATATGAAACAATTTCATGAAAAAAGTTCATAAGATTAAACAATGAAATCGACGGATGAGGGTGGTTTGCACGGTTTGTACTATATATATATATATATATATATATATATATATATATATAGGGGTTGGTTCAAATACTAACCAAAATTTTTGTGTT